GTGATGATAATGATGGAAAGTATGGTGATGATGATGATGATATGGATGATAATGATGAAGATGATGGTGATGATGAAGATGATGATGGAGGGTATGGTGGTGGTGATGATGATGATGATTATAATGATATGGTTGATAATGATGATGATGATGGTGATGATGATGATGATGATGATGATGAAGAAGAAGATGATGATGATATATATGGTTGATAATGACGATGTTGATGATGATGATGAGGATGATTATGTTGATGGCGAGAATTGAATGAGAGTGAATGAATATTTTTATGTGTATGTTTATTTATGTATGTACGTGTATGCATGTGTATAAATGTTTGTATGTGTATGTATGTGTGTGTGTTTGTGTATATGCATGTTTGTATATCTGCATGTGTGTGTATGTGTATTTATATATGGCTAATTGTATGTGTATGTATAGATGAGTATATACAAACATACATACATAATTCATTCAAATATACATACACAGTACACACAATACAAACATACACATCTATAATTATTATTTAAATTTTATCTTGAAAAATGTTGTCAATTATTTTTGAAATTTTCATTAATTCGTTTATTAAATTTTGAAAATAACATTTTGAGACCGTATATGTATGTATGTGCATGTGTATGTTTGTATGTGTATGTAGGTATTATTGTATTGCTTGTATGTTTGTATGCATTGAAAATCCTAATTTAGTTGATTCTGGTAAAGAAGATTGAACTCATCGCTCTTTAGAACTGTGAAAAATAATTCTGATGTGACACAACCAAACTTGCCTATTCATTTCAAAACGAATTCATTCATTCCATGCTTTTAAAACGTTAAAAATAAAGTTGGGGATTTTTAGACCTAGGCTAGAAACTGATTTCAATTTAGAACTGGTCTCTTTCAATATTTGACCAATCAGGAACAAGATCGAAACTGTTTCTACAATAACTCTTCTAAATTTAATTATTAAGATCTTTGGTTTTACAACATTGCAAAGAAAATTTAAATTTTTTTTTACAATTGCTGCCATAGTAATTCTATGTAATCGTAACCATCCTCCAATCAGATTTCAGTTGTAAATTATTATTCAACCAATCAGGAACAAGATTGAAAACAAAACAGAGTATATATATAGCCTAAGACTGCACAAATGCCATCATTTTTCTGAACGTTTCCGTGAGAATTCCAAACGAAGATCGAATGGCTCGTACGAAGCAAACTGCTTGTAAAAAAGTTGGCGGGGCTGCAAATGGGGCTGAAACAGCTGGCCATTAAAACAGCGCGAAAGGGTCGTGAAAATTATAGTGGCATCAAGAAGCCTCACAAATACAGACCGGGAACCGTAGCTCTCAGAGAGATTCGACGTTACCAGAAGTCTACAGAACAGCTGATCAAAAAGCTGCCGTTTCAGCGTTTGGTTCGTGAGATTGCTCAAGAATACAGGACTGAACTTCGCTTTCAAAGTGCGGCCATTGGAGCTCTGCAGGAAGCCGCTGAAGCTTACCTGATTGGGATGTTCGAGGATACTAACCTGTGCGCAATCCACGCCAAGCGGGTGACCATCATGACCAGAGATATCCAACGGGCCAGACGAATAAGAGGGGAGAGAGCCTGATTTGGTCGCTGATTGTAAAACTTGGATTTATTTTAAATAATATGATTTGTTTTTAGTTATATCTTGAATGAAATGCTGTGTGGTTATATAAAAAAGTTGGAATATTGTGTGTTTGGTGTAGGTTGTGTGTAGATGCCTATATGCCTTCATTTCTTTTTCTGTTGTGAATTTGTTTGTAATGATTGAATAAAATTCAAGAATAATCGTACGACTATGTTTTAAATCAGATGTTTTATTTGTGGTACCTTACTTTTCATTGCTAACACTGAACGACTGCGTAGTAGCCTACTGAATTTAACGTAGCGAAACACAACTTTAGTGAAACAGGCGATTAAATTGTATACACACCCAAGAATCTGATTTAAATTTAAATTGCACTTAAACGCGGTCCTAGAATGAAAGATAATTTTATATATATTCATAGAATTATTCATTATATTTAATAAAAATATGTAATAATATAGAGATATTTCGTGGAATGATTTTTGCTTGAATGCAATCTTATTATCTAGATATGTTTAAGCAAGTATATGAATGTATATATTAAGTAAGTGTGTGTGTATGTTTTTTTTAAGTATGTATGTTTGTGTATTTTTCTATGTACGGGTATGTGTACATGTGTATATGTGTACTCCTCTTTAATGATGTATGGTTCCTGTGTATGTGTACATGTATATATGTGTATATTTGCTTTATCTGTGAATGTTGGCATGTGTTTGCATGTATGTTTGTGTGTGTTTGTATTTGTGTGTGTATGTGCGTGCGTGCATGCGTGTATGCGAGATGTATTTTCGCAAGAGATTGTTTATACATCGTGTCAAAGCTAATGTTTGTTGCACAATCTCCAAACATTTTATCTCTCCTAATGCTTGCCTGTGCACGTGCCACAAATATGTGTGCGTGTGCTTTTGTGTGCCTGTGCATTTGTGTGTGTGTGTGTGTGTGTGTGTGTGTGTGTGGAGATGCGTGCCTATGTGTGTGCGTGCCTGTGCATTTGTGTGTGTGTGTGGAGTTTTGGGCCTGTCTGTGTGTGTGTGTGTGTAGTTATGTGAATAGAGTTGAATTTGTGTGTGTATGCGCGTATTTGTATGTATTTCTGTTCGGATTAGAGATGCATCGAATAGTGTGAGTTTGGCCGAATACCATGTTGCTAATGAATCCAAGAACCCCACAATTTCGAATATCGGGCCATTCTTCAAGAACGAACAACATGCTGCTGAAGGTTCCGTGCCAGTCCAACATTTCACTTGAATCTCTTGCTAATCAAATTCAGATTTGTCAGCAGCTACGATGGCCGAACTGACATCCTTAATATTAATAATACTTGGCAATAATAATGATATAAATGATAATAATAATAATAGGAATAATAATAATAATAAATATAATAATAATAAATTTTTATTGCTGTCGTTATTTTTTTGCCTCGTTGATATATTAGCTGTGCCTACTTCGCGCCAATAAAAAATTAATCACGTGATTTATGTGGCCACGCCCTCATTCGTTGAATTCATCCATCTATCTATCCATCCATACATCAATCCATCCATCCATCCATTCATTCATTCATCTATCCATCCACCCATCAATCCATCTATTCATTCATTCATTCATTCATTCATTCATTCATTCATTCATTCATTCATTCATTCATTCATTCATTCATTCATTCATTCATTCATTCATTCATTCATTCATTCATTCATTCATTCATTCATTCATTCATTCATTCATTCATTCATTCATTCATTCATTCATTCATTCATTCATTCATTCATTCATTCATTCATTCATTCATTCATTCATTCATTCATTCATTCATTCATTCATTCATTCATTATTCATTCATTCATTCATTCATTCATTCATTCATTCATTCATTTATTCATTTATTCATTTATTCATTTATTCATTTATTCATTCATTCATCCGTCTATTCGTTCTTCCTCTTTACCTTTTTCAATCTTTCCATCATCTATTTTTACAGCCTCAACGACGATTATGGTGAAGTTGTTCGTGACGATTGTCGAAATGATGATGATGATATTAAGAATCTAAAAATATCATCATCATCGTCGTCGTCATCATCATCATTATCACCATCAGCAGCAACACCATCATCATCATCATCTTGGCCAGCTAAAGTAAAATTAGCACAGCTGTTACACAGGCACCTGATAATCACGTGAACATAAAAAAGGGTGCGTTCGTGTCTCGTGACAAGCCCGTGACGTCAGGACGACTAATTTATGGTCACGTGTTGACCGGAAGCCATCTTTCTTTTTCCTCTTCCGGTCTCGACGCGCTTCATTGTTGATAACCGTTCTTAGGTGTTGTGAAGTTTTGGCTGTTGGTTGTTCTTTATGTAAAGATTTATTGTTTTTGATGCAAATGGCGTATTCGATGTTTTTGTTTCAGAAGTGAAACATTTTACGATATATTTATTTTGTCTTAATTGTTAACGTATTCTGCTTGTTTCTCTTATATAAACACACACACGTACACACAAACACACATATAAACACACAAACACACATATAAACACACAGACACACATACAAACACACAGACACACATATAAACACACAGACACACATACAAACACACAGACACACATACACACACAGACACACATACAAACACAGAGACACACATATAAACACACAGACACACATACAAACACACAGACACACATACAAACACACAGACACACATACAAACACAGAGACACACATATAAACACACAGACACATACAAACACACAGACACACATACATAGATTAAAAGCCTGAGGCGCAAGTGTACAGATACACGTCATGTTCAGATCTGTGTTGTATGAACATTGTGCGCGTGTATGTACGTATGTTTGTATATCTTTGTATGTTTTGTTGTATGTGTATGTTTGTAAATATATCTTTGTATGTCTAGTTATATGTGTATGTTTGTATATTTATGTATGTTTAGTTGTATGTGTATGTTTGTATATATATCTTAGTATGTCTAGTTGTATGTGTATGTTTGTTTATTTATGCATGTTTAGTTGTATGTTTGTATGTGTATATTTGTATATCTTTGTATATTTGGTTGTGTGTATGTAGGGTGTCTGTTTGTATGTTTGCTTTTGTTTTTATATCTGTGTGATGTTTTTATCTATATACTTTAGTTAGGCCAATTACAATTTTTTGTATGTGACTATGACTATGTATAGTATATTTGATTTTACTATTTTTGAAGTTTTCAATTAATTAATCCACTCATTATTTCTTTCAATCATTCATTCATTTGTTCGTTCCTTTCTTCGTTCCTTCCATCCTTCCTTCATTTATTCATTCATTCGTTCATCAACTTTTCCAGTCGCTCGTCCATTCATCCGTTTATTCTTTCACTCGTTTGTTATTTACAGTTAAACATTTTTGAATTATTTGTATTTAAGCATTTGTTTGTGTATTTATGTGTGTGTGTGTGTATTCATTTATGTGTGTATTTGTGTGTGTGTTTGTGTGTACGTGTGTGTGTGTGTGTGTGTGTGTGTGTGTTTGTATCGATTGTTCAGTGACATCTGCAGTGCATTAGGAACTTTCATGTATTCAAACATCTTATCGATGACGATGACGACGACGATGATGATGATGATGATGGTTCTGGTGAAAATGATGATGATGATGATGATGAGGAAAGATTTCATTTTGACTTTATTTTAATTTAATTTTCTTTGGCCTTTATTAATGAAATTCTCGTTAGAAAAATAGTTGGATACATTTTTATTGAAACATGTCAAAAATTATAAACTGCATTAAAATATAATTGAATAAAATAACGGAGTAATAATTATATAATAAATATATAATTTGAATTATATTATTTATATTTCATAAATATAGTTTAAAACATATAAACATTTTCAATTTTTGTAAAGAATAATAATTTATATATATATATTTTCAATGATAATTTATATATATATAATTCATAAATATTATATAGTTATACAATATTTATTTAGTCTTTAAATGAAGCCTTTTGCTGTAACAACCGAAATAAATTGTTTGAAAAA